GATATGTAAAATGCATAGAAAATACAAAATAAAACACAGACGACAGCACATACGTATGTATATAATCAGATAGGTAGATAGACAGATAGACAGATAGATAGATAGACAGATAGATAGATTAGATAGGCATGTACTGACATCCATGCACATACACAGCAGGCAATCTTCACATGAATATACGGCGGCACACACGCATTGTCGAAGTGATTCTGGCTCGGCCTTTGACATGCCAGCTAGAAGAACCAGGGACCTCCTCGAGGTTCGACATCAAGTTTGCAAATGTCTAACTTCTCAGTTCAACTCAAGGCAAAGCAAACCACCAATTGCAGAGACGCAACACCAGTGGTGCCTGGCCTTGACGCAGATCACCAGAACAAAGCCATCACAAACCATGCACCAACAGTCTTGAAGACAGGCCGTTCAAGGTCCCTTTCGAACGGTTCGTTCATCTTTCTCAGATGCCTAAGTTCTTTCGAACGGCTCGTTCCTCTGTCCGAGCTGCCCTGGTGCCTTTAGGCTGTTTGTCCAACTTTCTCAGTTTCTCGTATCCCTGTTTGCGTCTGTATCTCAAAAATTCTTAGCCCCTTTCGAGAAACGTGCTCCTATCTGTCAGCTGCACTAATCCGTGAAGAACGGTTGGCTCCTCTTTCAGACAGTGTGTAACTCTTTCTCAACTTCTCCGGCCCCTTGCTAGCGAATGGCTCCTCTTCCCCAACTTCTCTGATCCCTTTCGCAAAGGTTGCTCATCTTTCTCACAGCCCAGCCCGTTCGACCGCTTTGCTTATCTTTGTCAAATTGTGCAGTTCCGGGCGAGTGCTTTGGTCCTCTTTCCTGTGCTCCTCACCCTTAACATCACGAGCTCATGTCAAGCGGCTTGCTCCTCTTTCCCAACCACCCCAAACCCCCTAATCCCTTTGGGTCAGCTCGCTCCTTGTGCGCAATACATCTAATCCCTTTCGAACTTTTTTGCTATTTTTCTCGAATTCTCCAAACCTTGTCGATGCTTTCTCGAACTCTCTGGTTCCTTTAAAGCGGTTTGAACCAGTCCCGCAACTTCTGTTTGACCTTGCCAGATGCTTCTGCCCTTTTCAAGCAGCTGGCTCGTCTTGCTGAGTTCCTAGTGTCCTGCTTTTCTCCATTCTCAAATCACTTTCTAGCAGTCCCTTCCCAGCTCTCTGCTCGTTGTTCCAGTTTCCTGGCTAGTTCCTTTCGAGCTGCTTCATAATCGCGTACAGGTGGCTTGCTCCCTCTTCCCAAATTCTCTGCACAGCTTTGGTTTGTTCCTCATTTTGAACTTCTCTAATCTCTATACGACTACTCATTCTGCGACTCTCGAGTCCCTTCACAAAACTGCTCCTGCTTGTACGTTGTCCTACATATCCAAAGCCCCACACCAAAACACCACAACCGACTACAAGCACAGTCACGGGCATTGCACCAACAGTCGGGACAACCTTCGCTGAAGCAGCTCTGGTTCTAAGAGCGAACCTTCGCATTTGTCCGGTAACATAGGTCTCGGCCTTGAACCCTAAACCCTTTTTTTGCAGCAGGCTTCTCTCGCCCGGAACCCTAAACCCTAAACCCTAAACCCTAACCGCCTTGCATTGATTCCCAAACCCAGGACTCCTCCACTCACCGGCAGCCGCCAAGGCGGCTATCGCGGCACTCTGGGAGTAGACGTCCTTGGCAGCGACATTTCGTTTGTGAAGTTTTGTGCATATATATATATATACACGTATAGAGAAAGAGACAGAGACAGAGACAGAGGCAGAGAGAGAGACAGAGGCAGAGAGAGAGAGAGACAGAGAGAAAAGAGAGAAGGAAGAGAGAGAGAGAGAGACAGAGACAGAGAGAGGCAGAGACAGAGACAGAGCGAGACAGAGAGAGGCAGAGAGAGGGAGAGAGAGACAGAGAGACAGACAGGCAGACAGACAGACAGAGATAGACACAGGCGGACGCAGACAGAGACGGAGACAGACAGACACAAACAGGCAGAGACAGACAGAGACAGACAGAGACAGACAGAGACAGACAGAGACAGACAGAGACAGACAGAGACAGACAGACACGGACAGACACGGACAGACCCAGACAGACACAGACAGAGACAGACGGACGGACAGACAGAAAGACACAGGGCAGGGCAGGGCAGCAAGGGCAAGGGCAGAGACGCAGACAGAGCGACAGAGGGACAGACAGACAGACACACAGCCAGGCAGGCAGGCAGGCAGGCAGACAGACAGAGCAAGAGCGAGCAACCCTCCGAGAGAACTCCAGGACCCTAATGCCACCAAAAACCCAGCGGACATCTGCCGCTTGTCCTGATTATCCCTGGTTCGCTTCACCTGCTAAGGCGTAGTTTTAGACTCGAGTGCAGGTCTGGGCGTCTGGGGCCAGCCGTCTTTGTCGGATGCACCTGACAAGGCCGGCTGTCGTCGTCACCCACTCCCTGCACGCTATGTTCCGATTGTGGGAAGGAGTGTTTGTCTGCGGCAAGCCCCTCCCCGAACGCCAGGACCCCTATGCTGGCATGTCCTCGCGCCCTTTGGCACACATCTGGGGCTTGCAGACTTCAAACAACGATGTATAGCCCCCATGCATCGGGTCATCGATGGGGTGACGTCAACATGATTTACCACATGTAAAGTCCACATGCAAACACGAGCCCGTCCCCCGTCAACACATGTCACGTGACCCTGCATGTTCACTATGATACACAACTGGAAGGTAAGTGCAGTGTTGCTCCTGTTGTTTAGCCGCCGTGTTGGTCACCTTCTAGTTACTAGTGACTGTACCGTGCACTGTGTGGGGGCCCAGTTTGCGTCCTCCCTCCCTTTCATTCGACAAGGCTGTGATGCAGGGACAAATCCCTCCCTCCCTCCCTCCCTCC